TGGCATAGTAGATCAAGCCCTAGACCTACATTCAGGAACAACTGAGTTCAAATACAGCTTTGCACTTTAATAGAATAGTTGTCTGCTCCTGGATAAGTCACTTAATATCTGTCTGCCTCATTTTCTTCATTTTTAAAATGGAAATAATAATAGCATCTGTATTTCATGATTATTGTGACTATAAAATAAGATAATATTTGCAACATTTTTGTTCAGTCACAATTCTCTGTGACCTTATGGACAACATCATTCCAATACTGTCCATGAAGTTTTCCTGGCAAAGATACTGGAGGGGTTTGCCATTTCCTTCTCCAGGAGATTAAGGCAGACAGAGGTTAAGTAACTTGCCCAGGGTCACATAGCTAGGATGTGTTTGAGGATAAATTTGAACACAGGCCTTCTTGACTCCAGCACTCTATCCACTGAGCCACCTACCTGCCTAATGTTTGCATAGTTCTTTGCAAATACTGACATCCTAAGTAGATGGTACACATTATTGACATTTTACAGACATTATTGCATTTAAGCTTCATGACAATCCTGTGAGGTAGGTACTAATGCTATTATTATCCCCATTTCACAGGTGAGAAAACATCTTAGAGAACATGAGTAACTCACTCATGGTCACAAAACTAACCAATAAGAGTCAGAGATGGGATTTCAACCCAAGTAACTGGTCTCATAGCTCAAAGAAAAGAAGAAAACAGCAAACATTTTTACACAAACTTAGGTGTAAAAGTGCTATATTAAAGTTATTTGATTTAAATTTAATAACACTCCAAGGTAAATTCACTTCACACTCCCTTTTCAGAGATGAGGAAACCAAGGCAGAGGGCAATAAAACGGCTTAACTAGTTTCATTGAACCTATAAGGGTGAGAGGGAGGGTCAAAAATCTAGCTTTTCCTGATTACAAGGACTGCTCCATTACTATTGTGACACAATGATTCTCACTTTCCAGGATATTATCATGGAGCCATAATGAAGGATTCAAATCCAGAACCCTAGAGTCCAGACAAAGAGATGACATGTGAGTGAGAGAAAAGAAGGGAAAGAAAATATTGGGACTTCTCCTCAGCTGACAAAGCCAAACCACCTACATATTCTAAGAGCAGTAAGATGCATTTTCAACGAAGTCTAAACATATTCTGCTCTGAGAATTGCAAGACAATTGAGGAATTTGGCTAATTAATCACCTCCCAAGAGAAGGAAAAAATTTAATATAATTAATACAGTCAAGGTTATAGGCTTTATGAGAGAATTTCAACCTTTCCCAGGGCTATTCTGCCCTTGCCTGACTTCCAAAATAAGTCTTAGTCCTATGGCACACAATTCAGTGACCCCTGAGGCAATCACTGAATCTCTTACCATTCCTCTCCCTAACTGCTGGTTGCCTAGGACATCATATGCTCTCAGATCCCATCTGCCTCTCAATGCACACCCCAGAACATCTGCAGGGGTGACTTCCCTACCTGGATCTGAGAAAAGAAGGACATAAAACATAGAAGACTTTCAATGGGGTTGTAAGTTTTGAGTCTTGCCTCTACCTCTGCCTCTCCACTGTGTGACTGTGAATAACAATGATAAGAAATGACCCAAACTTTAGTGGATCTAAAAAGGCTCATCTTTGCTATAAAGGAAAGGAAAAGGGACCATAGAAGTTACAGGAGGAGAAATGGATAATGTAGAATGCTTAGATTTAATGAGTCTTGTTTCACCTAAACATTCTAAAGGCTCCTCAAGATAAGGTAATTGATCAATTCTTTAGTGAAAAAACAGATTTAGAAAGCACTTATAAGAAAAAGTAATTAAACCTGGGTTCTAGAGTGATGGAGCCCTACCACTTATTTGAATCAACTGACTCCATGGCAGAAGAGTGGGCAAACCACTCCATCAGAGAAGGCTATCCAGCTACTCAAAAACCATCTCTTGGTAAGTAACACTTCAAGCTATATTGTAAATTAGTCTCTGATGGCAACAATTTTCATTGGTATTTTTTCCAATACCTTTTTTTCTTTCTTTTTGCTTTGTTATTCTACTTCATGCTTGTTCTAATCTCTCTGGGTCCCATTTACTCACCCTTCAAAGGTAAAAATTTTTACAACCTGCTTATTCTATTTATCTGGGCCAACATTGCCCAGACATTAAAAGGAAAACTTAGTCAGTGGTAAAATTTAAGAGCCCCTGAAAATCTCCCCTGACCAAAATTATCCTGAACCAGATAATGGGGTCTGAAATGTCCTGCGATCACTGAGTGCACTGAGAGCACTCTGTACAGGTGATAATTTGATGTAGTCTGAGAGAATCATCACACTACCATGTGGTATGGAAAAAAAGAACACTGGATTTGAAGTCAGAAGATGTAAGTTGAAATCCCAAATCTGATATTTACTTAATTATATGACATTGGCCAAGTTACTTTATGTCTCTGAGACTCAGTTTCTCATAGGTAAAAACAGATGAATACTATCTGCTCTGACTACCTTCTAGAGGAATTCTGAGAAAAATACATTATAAAAGTTAAGACCCAATAGAGATGAGATATTTTTACATTCAATACATCAACAGAGATTTTTAGCATCACTAGATGAAATTCTAAGTTCATTTCCTAATGAAGACATCAGTGATTAGTTAAAGTAGTGCCCTAAGTATCATGTTATGTATCTTAAGGATAATTATGAATAAAATAGGCTTTAATGGGCTGAGATGAGAGCAGGTTCAAACCTCCAGAAGTGTCTATAAGGAAATGCAAGTTTAGTTCTAAGCAATCATCATCATCATCATTATCATCACCATTGCATTGAGATAGTGCATTAAAGTTTGCAAAGTGCTTTACACAATAACTGACTTAATCCTAATAACAATTCTGTAAAGGAAGTGCTATTATTATTTCCATTTTACAAATGAGGAAACTGAGACTGAGAAAATTTAAGTGACAGGGTGACACAGCTACTCACTGTCTGAGTCAGGATTGGAACTTGGGTCTTCCTGATTCTACATCCAGTGTTCTATGTACTATGCCACCTGGATGACTAAGAAAAAGTGTGACTTATTAGTTGCTGATAAGTTAGGAATGTTTGTACTGCTACTGTTGGTTATCTTTTTTCAGGTGTTTATGTCATGTCATATACAATATTGTGAGATCCAAGACTGTGAGTGGGGTTTATTTCTTAGACTATCTTATATCCCCTTTCAAAGCATCAAGTACTGCACATAGCACATCTTCAATAATTACTTTTGTACTGTTATCATTAAGAATAAATTTATGTATAAAGTTATCATTTATATAGAATGACAAAATTTTCTGATGTGAATGTTTCCTCGGTTGAATCACTCAGGTGTCTTATGAAACACATTGAATGGATGAATGAAGCATTAATTAAGTGATAACTGTAAACAAAACAATGTGCTACTTCCTGGGGTTACAAAGAGAAAAGTGAGTTTTTGCACTCTGGAGTTCACATTCTAATGGGAAGCCAACACATGCAGAAGAGGATGAATTATCTGATTTAACAGAAGAGAGAATAAAGCTGAGAGATTAAATGATTTCTTCTTTCCTGATTAAAAATAAAATCACTTTTTAAAGCACTTAAATGTTTATAAAATTATAAATATATGTTTATACATATTTTATAGACATACATCTAATTTGGTCCTCACAGCTAACCAGTGAGTCAGAAACCACAGGCATCTTATCCCTATTTTACAGGTAAGGTTTAGAAAAGTTAAATGACTTAATTATGATGTGACAGAAGGAAGACTTCATGGAAAAGCTGGTATGTGAAATAGATATTGAAATAGGTAGGGATTATTATTATTCATATTATACAGGAATGATGTGAGCAAAAGCACAGAAACGGGACAATACAGCAATCATCTAACAATAGTGAATGACTTACTTTGAGTGGAGTATCTTCCCCAATAGAATGTGAGATCCTTGACATCAGAAACTCTTTTTACCTTTCTTTGTATGCCAGGTGTTCAGCATGGTGTTTGACACATAAAAAGCACCTAATAAATGCTTGTTGTTGATGATTATGAAAAGGCTGGACTACAGAGCCAGATTGCAAAACTCTGTTTATTTCAGTTCTTATGTAATTAAAAATTTAGAATCATGAGAATTTCTATTGTTAACAGCTCTAAATTGGAGTACACAAAACCACAGAATCAAAGAATGTTAGAATAAGGAATAACGTTAGAGATTCCTTAAATGGGGGAAAAATGAGAAATAGGAAATAAAGCAACCTATCATGGTCCCTTCTGTCCTCTCCACAGGTCTAGTAGTCTTGAACATGTCAGAAGGAAACAGAGTGACTGAATTCATCCTCCTAAGCTTCCCCTGCCCCAGAGAGATGCAGATCCTCCTCTTTGCAGTCTTCTCTCTGACCTATGTCCTGACCCTCATGGGGAATGGGTCCATCATCTGGGCAGTGAGGTTGGATCAGCGGCTCCACACCCCCATGTACATCCTGCTGGCCAACTTCTCCTTCTTGGAAATCTGCTACATTAACACCACAGTTCCTAACATGTTGGCCAACTTCCTTTCTGAGTCCAAGACCATCTCCTTCACTGCCTGCTTTCTCCAGTTTTACTTCTTCTTTTCCACAGGTGGCACTGAGATCTTCTTCCTATCCCTCATGGCTTTTGATAGGTACCTAGCCATTTGTCAGCCTCTGCACTACCCCACAATCATAACTAGACGCTTCTGTATTAAGCTAGTGCTCTTCTGCTGGGTGACAGGCTTTCTCTGCTTTCCCATTCCCATCTATTTTATGTCTCAATTGCCCTTTTGTGGCCCAAATGTCATTGATCACTTTATCTGTGATCCAGGCCCCCTCATGACTTTGACATGCATCCATGCACCAGGAATTGAGCTTTCTTTTTCTATTATACCCTCTCTTGCCATCTTCCTCAC